AAAGGAAATAATACAAGAAAACCCTCTAGAACTTCTAAATACAAAAAAAAAAAGCACCAATCAAAACAATACACAAATTGCCTCCAGAAAAACAAAAAAACCCCTACTTCCAGTTTCAACACACATGATGGTTAAATTTAATAATTCAAAAACCAAACAACATATTCTACAAGCAGTCACAAAAAAGACCTTCAAATGTAAGAGAAAGGAAAGTCAAATAACTCATTAGAAACTTCTTATGCAAACAGAATAATCATATTCTTCAAGATACAACCCAAAACCCAAAAAACATGAGCCAAATAATCAATGAAAAAAAGATGGATGTTGTTCAATAAAAAAGAGGCATTAGACACATCCCTACAAAAAAATAAAATTAAATTAAAAAAAAAACGAGCAAAATATTCATCTTGCAAACACTCCAAACAACACATAAACAAGAAAGATAACTAAATACAACTACAAAAGAAAGAACAATTAACGAAATCAATTGCCTTCTCTCCAGAGATTATTCTTTTAAAAGAAAGAATGATTTAAAGGGTTGAAAAACAAGAACAATTTTTTTAAATTAAGTACACAGATAAAGATGAAGGTAGAATTTAAAGATTCTATATAGATCAGAAGCAGCTAAGTGGAGCAATAAACAGAATTCTGGACCTGGATTCAGGCAGACCTGGGTTCAAATCTTTCCTCAAACATTCATTAGATATGTGACCCTGGGCATGTCACTTAACTTCTATTTGTTTCAATTTCCTCATCTGTAAAATGGGAATAATAAAACCTACCTCTCATGGCTGTTGTGAGGCTCAAATAAGGTAATATTGTGAAGTATTTTGCAAACTTAAAAGCACTTTGTATACAATGCTAGCTATTATTATTAGATGGAAAAACAGGCATATAGATTGGCATTTATTAATGTTCTCTGAGTCATCTTTTTTTGGGGGGGATATCAATAAAGTCTGAGATTTTTTTCCATACTTCTTTATCTCCCCCTCCTTTAGATGCCTTTTACTTAGGTTCCTAAATGCCCTCACAATTGTTATCATTTCCTGTACAATTTTCCTCTATTTATACTCAATCCAATCCAGCTGCTTTTCCCATCTTTGTTCTACCTCTTCTGTCAGCACCTTGGGGACTGTCCAGATTCAAAATCAAAACAGAGACAACTAAAGATGAGTACTATAACCAGAAATGTGTAAAGAGGTTAGTTGGCAAAAAGACTAAAAAAAGCTGATCTACAAACAAAAGGGAGAAAACTACCCACAAAACAAGTTTTATGGGAAATACAGAATGAGGTCAGTTAAAATTTGCTCCTAAGCATTCTTTATTATCTTTTGAATATTTAAGTCCTATCTCTTCAAACAAATTGCAAGATCTTTGAAAGTGACTATCCTAGCATGTCTTATGCCTATGTATTGTGAGTTCAGAACCTATGGTTCAGGGGCAGCTAGGTGGCGCAGTGAATGGAGCACTGGCCCTGAAGTCAGGAGGACCTGAGCTCAAATCCGGCCACAGACCAAACACTTGACACTTACTAGCTGTGTGACCCTGGGCAAGTCACTTACCCCCAACTGCCTAAAAACAAAAAACAAAACAAAAAAAAAAAGAACCTATAGTTCCCTGAAGACAGTAAATTCTTACTAAATGAATGTTGGCTTAATGACTAAAAAAAAAAACCAAAACACACAACTCTAAGTTATAATTATACCAAAGTTCTCTGTCTCACTACAGATCCTGTATCATTGAGCCATAGATTCCTTTAAGTATGAATTCTGGAACACACACACACACACACACACACACACAACTTATTAAGGAGACAATATAAAGCATTTGCTTCCAGAAAACAAGTTTACTATACTATCACAAGACATGAACCTTTAGATTCCCCTTAAAAGATGAATGAATACTGAAGAAAATGGCATTATTTTACCAAAGTCAGTATCTGCTCTGGGGGACCCCTATCATTTTAACAAATACCCTATTTCCAACACAGTTCACAAAACACTTCAGAGGATATTTTGTTCATTCACTTTAACAACTTTATGAAGAAAATAATACTATATACTAGTTCATTAAATAATAGTTTTACTTAATGTTTTTGTTTAGGTACATGAATGTATAAATGTATAAACACATACATAATAGGCGGTTTATGTATATGTATATACATTATATGTATGTATACACAACCCATATTAGCATACAAAAAGTATGGATGAAGAGATTGGCTACAAGTATTATTTGCATTAGATTAATAAATCCCACATCACTGTTTTAATTCTCCCGTAGACAAATTAACTTTTCAAAGAGAAAAAAACAGGTGCTATCAGTTATCTCATTCACACATCCAAGAATTCACAAGAGAAAATGAGGATTAATTCAATGCAAATTACCAACATTACTGGAAAATCAGGGAGGTTGGCAAAGAGGATGAAAATTCAAAAGACCTGTTCTTAGATTTATAGTCAGTGAGTGGCATTACTTTGGTCTGTATGAAAGACAGCATACATTAGAAAACCATTTACTATTATAACACAGCCCCCTCTAGGTTGAACATGGTAGATACTTAACAGCATCAAAGTGAAATTCTGAATTGTCTTGGAACGCAATTGCAGACCCTAGCCAAACAATTTTGTGAACCTGCATCACAGAGTACACATATTATATATACAAAGATACTTTTAGCAGAGGCACCTTAGTAAATATTGCTTTGCCTTTCTGAGGTAACTGTATCTGAATTCAATATAAAAGTATCTTTCAAAATTTCATTTATTTTGAATAATTTTTTCAGCTTTTCTCAATTAGACTAATTATATATTCTAGTACTTCAGAGACTGACCAATGTTTGCTACATCATTATTATTTACCATATTTCACATTTATTTGCCTTTAAAAATTAGTCAGTTTAAAATTTCTGGCAGACAAGATCTGGGACTTCTAGGAATTTATGCCTATGCCTTTTTTAATCCCAAATGATACTATTATTTCTGCATTTACTTTACTAAAAATCATGCTACAACCTCTATTTCCCCCAAATCATGCCATTTATTTTTCTGGATTGGTAGTAAAAAGATTTAATATCATTTGGCATTTCAAACATTCTAGCATCTTTTGAAGTACACAGGAAAGAGCTTACTTCTCTGGCATAATAAAGTGCAGCAAGGACCAGAGCTCTTTGAGGGAATTCTGAAGAGGGGTCCCAGTAATCAGGAGCCTATGGTTGGACTTGAAATCAATCAGAGTTTTATACAATAAAGAGTCATCATTCTTCAACCGATGGGCTTCATCCACTCCCAGAAAGGCCCAGTTAATACTGCCCAGCACAGTCTAAAGTAAAAACAAAACAAAACGAGCCACCAAGTCAGATGGGCAAGTGGTTTCAAGGGTTAATTATCTCCATGCAAACATTACAAATGTAAGTATGGAAAATATTCCGTTGTCTTAAACGTGTAAAAGATCATTTGTGGTCTTAGCTGCTTAGACTGGGGCCTGCTCAAATCAAAATAAACTACAATCCCTAAAAAATTATGAAAGTTATGTTTCCTTTTGCATATCCCCAGTGTAAGAGCAAATAAAGGGAGGTTCTGGGCAAAAATGGTTTGTACTCTTCTTTTTATTATACACCATTCTCCTCTTGATTAGGCTCTATCACAACACTGGCTTTTGAGGAACATTCAGAAACTACAGATTGTATCAACCTAAAAACTCTTCCCTTAGTACTAATGGAATCTGTCTAGAACTAAATATGTCTATCTTTATAAGGAATGTTTTGATTCTTATAAAGACCATCTTCAAAAGGTTCAAGCAAGTTTTACAGTCTCCTTTTTGTTTTGTGTGAAAGTTATTTTCATAGAGAGCAAAACAATTTTCTCTTTTAGAAAACAATACAATGGATAATTAAAATAACAACAACCAACCATTAGAGTAGGAACAGGAAAGCTGAATTTTAGTCCTGAATCTATCATTGACTAGTATTACCCCAGGAAAGTCCCTTTACTTCTTTGGGCCCAGATTTCCTCTTCCGTAAAATGTGAGGGATAGCTATGTGACCCTGGGCAAGTCACTTAACCCCGACTGCCTCACCAAAAATAAATAAATAAATAAATGGATAAAATGTGAGGGAGTTGGATTAGGTCCCTTCCAGCATTTGGTTTCTTTACCTTCTCATGTTCCCAAAATACTCTTTTTTATTCCCCACAAAGGTCAAAAACCAGCATAAGAACATTAACTACTATGACACAAAGTGAAAAACCCAAGCCCCTACAACCTGAACAAATCACAAAGTTCATGGTTCATGGTTTTCAATTTCAAATTCATGGATTTGACCCATGCCTTACATACCTTATCTTTTAGGAGGATCTCATATGTTGTTATGAGTGCATTAAACTTTAGCCTCTTGGTTTGAGAATGGATCCATTCATATTCCCGTATCTATAAAAGAAATCAATACTGAAATTTAAGTACTACTGAACTCTATATCATCCAAATAAAATGACACTGGCTCTGCCTACTGTCCTTCATCTCTCCCTCCATTTCTCAGCCAATTTTCTAGAAAAAGCTATCTATAACTGTAGCCTTTACTCTCTCATTTACTTCTCCACCTCTTGCTTCATAATGCAATGAAGTACCCTAAGGGAGAGAGACCAAATAGCATAAACAAGGCAGATAACACCACCACTGACACCACGACCCTGTGAAGTGGACACCAAGAACCCTATGCCCAAGAGATTCTGCAAATAGTAGCACCATCATCTCTGGGACAGTGGGCCTACTTCCAGCCTATTCCTGCCACCACCATGAAAGGTAATAACCATAATGTCCTCAGAAGCTGCCCTTTTTCAATTTATTCATCATTTAACTGAAGTTACCAATAAACTCTTAATAGCCAAATCTATGAGCTTTTCTCAAACCTCATTCTTTTTTTGTTTTGTTTTGTTTTTTTGGCTAGGCAATGGGGTTAAGTGACTTGCCCAGGGTTACACAACTAGTAAATGTCAAGTATCTGAGGCTGGATTTGAACTCAGGTCACCTGTTTCCAAGGCCGGTGCTCTATCCGCTGAGCCACCTAGCTGCCCCAACCTAAACCTCATCCTTCTTGACCTCTACACAGCATTTGATTCTATTGACCACACAATCCTCTAACATTTTGTGACATAACTCTCTCAACAAAGGGACAAGATCTGATGCCTCTAAGGTCCCTTTTAATTCTAAACCTATAACCTTATGATTCTCCTCCCTAACTGACCACTTCTTCTCAGTCTCTCTTACTGGATTATCAACATACCATGCCCTTATCTGTGGGTGTCCTTAAGGCTCCATCCTAGGCCCCTTCTACTGTCTCCATATTCTCACTTTGTGACCTCTTCAAATCTTACGGTTTATATTATTAACTGAATGAAGGTGATTTCCAGCTTTATATATTCAGCCCTGGCCTAAGCTCTAATGCCACATCATCAATTGCCCCTGAAATATTTTGAACTACATGTCCCTCAAGCATTTCAAACTCAACAACTCATTATCTTCCAACTCAGTCATCTTCCTCCTTTCCCAATTACTGTCAATTGTATCACTATCTTTCCAATCATCCCAGCTTACAACCTTGATGTCACCCTCAATTCCTCACTCTCACTAACCCCACAACCATCAGTTGCGATATCCTGTCCTATATGCCTCCATAACACCTCTACCCATATACCTGTGACCTTAATTCAGGCCCATGTTACCTCTTGCCTACACTATTAAAATAGCCTCCTTATTGGTCTCCCTGCTACAAGTCTTTCCCCATTCCAATCCACCCTCTACATAGCTATTGGAGTGATTTTTCTCAGGTGTAGGTCACTTCTCAGTCACTCCAGTGGCTCCCTATTACCCCTAGAATCAAACAGAATTTTTTGTTTGGAATTAAAGCACTTCACAATCTGGCCCCAATCTACTTTCACATCACATTACACATTCCTACCCTTTAGGTTTCCTCTCACTTGATCAAGCTGACCTTATTACTAGGCCATGGCACTCCATCTCCCATCTCTGGGTCTTGGTGCTGGCTATTCCCCACAATTACAAAGCACTCCCTCCTCCCCTCTTAAGATGTCCCAGTTTCTTTCAATACTCAAGGGCAGACTTCTGCCTTAGGCCTTTCTTGATTTCCCGAAGTGCTAGTGTTTTCCCCAACAAAATCAACTTGCAACTATTTTGTTTATATTTAAATACATACACATTGTCTCTCTTAATGGAATGTTAAGGTCTTTCAGAGCAAGGACTGCTTCATTTTGTCTTTATATCCCTGGCATCTAGCACTGTGTACAACACACCTATAAAGTGTGCTTTTAAAATGCTTTTTGACACCTATTTCAAGACTATCTTATAAATATTAAATAAATGAAAATAGTTGAAATATAAGGCAAAACTCCAACATGAATAAAAGTGTTAAGACTGTAATTTCATTTTTTCTCTCTCTCTGTATTTTCAAACAAAGGAGATCATCCTACCAAAGGTATTAAAATAGAATGTTAATAGCCACTCTCTTCATGCCCAAATTTTACAAAGACAATACTTCTGTTCAGAACATCTATTAAAATCTTAATAATCTGGATTCATTTGGGGAAGAATATGGATTACAGAACACTTTAAAATAGGAAAATTACAATTTCAGAAACTTTGTTACCAGAATGAATGAATGAAAAGCATTTTTGCACTTAATATATATCAAGCACTGTGCTAAGTGCTGGGGGCAAAAATACAAGGAATGGCTACTGGAAGAAAAAATAATCTCCAAGATTATAAGATTTAGAGATGGAAGGAAACTTTGAAATCACAAAAATCCCATCCCTTTACTTTGTAAGACAGGTCCAGCAGATAAGTGGTTCAGTGGATAGAATGCTGGACCTGTACTCAGAAAGACCTAAATCCAAACCCCACTTCAGACACTTTCTAGCTACGTGACCCAAGGCAAGTAACTTACTTACCCTGTCTGCCTCATTTCCTCATTTATAAAATAGGGATAATTAATACCTCCAAGGATTGTTGTGATCAAATGAAGTAATATTTGTAAAGCACTTTGCAAAACCTTAAAGCAATACATAAATGCTAGCTTTTAAAAATTGTTTTTGTTGTTATTGAAGCCCAGAGGCTACTGTTGACCCAACACGATGTCAGTGACAGGAGGAAATACATCAAGAAAATTTTGTTCAGACCTGAGATTTCATTAGTGTAAGGAATTGCAGATGAGGAAACTCTCTCTACCAACAAAGATCCTCACCTTAATTTCAATTCAGTCTTAGAGAGTATTCTGACTCAATGAGTGACTGAGTACCTTGGCATGGTTTACAAAGTCACTATGTATCAGAGGCAGGACTTGATCCTGTATCTTCCTGAGTCTGAGGCTGGCTCTCTAACCACTATGCCATACTGAATCTCCAAAATTAATTCATCTCAGAGGATAAAGTAAATAAAATTGTGTAGTATCAGGTAAGGCCTTCCTTATTTTGATGGGAAAGAGGAAGAATTGACATAGGGAGAAAAAGAAGCTGAAATTCCCCCCCCCCAGCACACTCTCTCACTCTTTCTCTCTGATAATTTAATACTTTTGCTTAGACTTCACTCTTTTTACCTTTAACTACATGAGGATGGGTAGACATCGCATGAATTTTTGTCCTGCGTACTCAATATCCCAAAGACCTGTGACTTAATTGGCATGGTACCTCTCAAAATACTGTAACTTCTCTATGATTCAGAATGATTTTTTTAAAGCATTTTTTGAATGACAGACCACTCCTTCCATCTTGGCAGTCTGATGAAACCTATGGACCCCTTCTCAGGATAATGTTTTTAAATGCTAAGATAAAACACACAGGATTACAAAGAAAACTTATTTTGAAATACAATTATCAACAATCTTTAAAAAACTGTACGTAGACCCCAAGTTAAGAATCCCGATTTAGAAAGTCTACAAATTTTACTACAGCCAAGAAAAATGACCACTTGAACTCAATCTGGGAAGACTCTTCAAACTTAACTAAGCTGATCCTTAGAAAAAAAATACTCAATCTGTCACCAAGCCCATACTAAATTAGTTTTCCTTGGTAAAGCCTTCTACACGTAATACATCAGTAGCACAACCTTAGAAAACACAGTCATTGCCATAACACAACAAGGCAGCAAAGTTACAACTTTACTAAAAGACACCTCAATATGTTTGCTGTGAAAAAGCACATAAGTACAGCTTAGATGAGAATAATGTAACTGAATTATATGAGAAGCCAACACATATCTGTATCATTTATGAAGATTGCTTTTGGGTGATGGGTTTTGTTTTATTTCATTTTAAAGATTATACTTAACTTTCTGTGGATTCTTTCATCTGGGTATTGTGATACTTAAATAATGCAAAACTGGAGCACAAAGTTAAAACCTACTACAGATCCTTAGGTGATTTGTTTTAATGAAAAGGTAAGAATAATTTAAATTAACATATCAAATACCTCCTCACAGTCCAGTCAAAAAAGCGTCCCTATACACTGCACTCCATTTCCCATTTCTATGCCTTGGTACTGGCTGTCCCCCATGCCTAGAATACATTCCCTCCTCACCTACATCTCTGAAAATCCTCAGTTTCCTTCAAGATTAAGCTCAGGTTAAAATCTTTAGTTTTACTTGATACCACCTAGTGGCAGTGTTCGAGTATCTCAAGTGCTTAAAGTTCAAATTAGTTTTCAATTTTAAATATGGCCCCTACACTAGTGTTTATACTATTAAATTGGATAAAAACAAATCAAACTTGAGCCACAATCCCTGTTATAAATTCCTAGACTATTAAAAATAGAAGGTATCTTCTTATCCAGCTTTCTCTTTCTGAAGATGAGGAAACTGAATCCCAAGCAAAATAAACTAGCTTGTCCAAGATCACATAGCCAGTTAGTGGAATAGTTGGTGACAAAAATTCCTTTTCCCTAACTCTATACCTCATTCCACTGTCTGCTGATTTTCTTGGTGTCTATAATTATGTCCAAATTAATAAAATTTATCATCCAATCCAAAAATCATTTATTAAATGCCTACTATGTATGAGGAACTGTGCTAGGCTAAGTACTGAAGATACAAATATAAAATTAAAAACTGTCCTTTCCATGCTCTCAGACTTACATTCTATTGGGGGAGGGAGGAGAACAACATGTAAACAAATTTATGATCTATGAAAAGCTTATCTATGAAAAAATTCCTTTCACTTCAGATGTAGCTCATCTTCAACCTTTCACTTTCTTGGCCCTGAGCATAGAACCCTAAGTTTTTAAGAGCTCTGATAAGCTTTTGTGCTTATAACTATTTTCTCATCTTTCTGCCTAAATAGTAGGAAAACATGAATTAACTATTAGATTTCTTTAGGGCAGGACTCTTGGAATGAAGTGGTTCCATATGACATTTATTATGTATCTATACTTATAAGGCAGAGAGATGAAAACATTTCATAAAGAGACATGATATGGAACACTTTACATCTGTTGGGAGTAACAACTGGTAAATGTTTTTAGCCAACGTGGTACAATTGTTTTTCTTTAAAATGAATAAATATATATTTAAAGTTTATGTTTTTTATTGTACTCTTGTGATGCATAAAACCAATAAGTCTATCAAACAGGACTTTCCATAACATTAATAGCTTTAAGGAATTTGCTATAAAACATGAATGACATCACACTATAATCCAGTTCTCTTTTTGTTTACATACCGTATTTCTGCTCATCAGGTCTCCGATGTAAACCACTACATTAATCTCTGGTGCCCATACTTCAAATTCCCTCTGCCATGAAGTGAGAGTAGATAAAGGTACCACTACAAGAAAGGGGCCATACAGCTGGTGTTGATGGAACAAATAGGAGAGGAATGATATGGTCTGGATGGTTTTTCCTAGGCCCATTTCATCAGCAAGAATCACACTGTTACTCCTGGGGGGAAAAAAAAGGAATCAGAATTCATCCATTCAATTTAATGAAAACCAAAAAATATAAAAATAACAACTCTGCCAATGAGTCATTGCACGAGAGGAGTTTCCCCATTGTGCACCTCAATTTCCTCAATATAAGTAATATAATCACTTCATACAAGGCAACTGGCTAAGCACTGGGGACAGAGACATAAATAATTCCTGTCCTCAAAGAGCTCACATTCTCATGAGGGAGACAAACATAAAAATAACTAGGTACATACAAGATATACAGAGAGAAGATGCAAACTAATCTCCAACAGGAAAGCACTAGTAGCTGAGGGGAACATATAATTCTTTTTCTATTCCTTTTGTAAAAAAGTTTATTTACAATGCCTCAGTGTCATCAACATAGTAGGTACTCAATTAACACATGATGAATAAACATACAGATGCCACCTTAAAGTCTCATTCATCAAAAAAGATATATATACACATATACATATATATCCCACAGACATTTATATCTGTATGAGTATACGTATACACACACACACACACACACACACACACAAACACACACATAAATATTTTGAAGTTAAGTCAAGGGGGCAGCTAGGTGGCACAGTGGATAGAGCACTGGCCCTGGAGTCAAAAGGACCTGAGTTCACACACATCATAATTCCTAACTGTGTGACTTTGGGCAAGTCACTTAACCCCAACTGCCTCATTAAAAAAAAGTTAAGTCAAATTTCTGTGAGATTTCTCTACTGCAGCCTTGGCCCTTATTCCAACACTTAACCTTTTCCTAAAACTGGAAAGTGACAACTGATGGATATTCATGATCAAAGCTCAATCATTAAGGGACAAAGACTTGATTTATCCTATCCACATCCATGTGTACATCTGATATCTACTCTTTAAACTGAAATGTCATATGCAAATTCTGGAATAACTGGAATTCTGAGAATGAAGTCACATAATAAATATTTAGGCACTGACCCAGGAAAACGGAAGAAAAATATCCAGCAAAGTTCATAAGCAAAGAGCAAATTAAAAAGCATAAAGTATTAAAGCTGACCTATTCACTGTTAAAGTCTGAAACAGGAAACAACAAATATTCAATAAATAAAAATAATTAAACATAAAATCTAGAGTTCCATACTATGGGGAAGGAAAGGACAAGAATAAGCATTTATATGAAGCCTTCTATGTGCCAGGCACTGTGCTAAGTGCTTTACAAATATTATCTCATTTTACAGTTAGGTAGGGAGGAAAGGTAGAGAAAATGAGAAAAGAATGCCTCCATAATGCTCAGTGGGTGCTTAGTTTTAGGCATTTCTATAAATTCCATATTTGAGTTAATTCTCCTTCCCCAAAAATAATTAATTCTAAGGAAGAAACTTTTTTCTTTTATATGACTTCCCTCCTCTTCAGTATGCCTGTTAATGAAAGGTGGGAATATGAAGTGACTTTCTGTGATTTTGTAAGATCACATCACAACGGCAATTTGGTTTAATGTTATTATATGCCTTGGACCTGTAATGGTCTGTTTTTTTCCTTCTGGCAGATGTGAGGCAAGTATGAGACAGCATAAGGTAAACTGCTCTCATTAGCCCAGTTATTCCCTTGAACTAAGAGTAGGTAAAGTTATTACCATTTTGGACAAATACTCAATGGTTCAGGACAGTAATACTCAACAGACTAAAGTTCTCAAGCTACACATGGCTATTTCACATGCAGCCAAAGTTCTTTAAGACTTCTCATTTATGTATTAGTATGTCATGATGGACTCTACCAGGTGTGCAATATCATAAGGTTCTTTTAGCTAGGCCAAAGTTCATTTTTGAATTAGAGTTTATTTTACAATAGATTTCTAAAGGGCATGTGTGTGTGTGTGTGTGCGTGTGCGCCCGAGTGTGCACGCGTGTGCATGTGTGTATGAGTGAGTCACAAAATGGTAAAAGCTGATAAGGACCTCAGAGATAATCTAGTGCAATTCTCTGAGGCACTAAGCACTTCAAGGACTTGTTCATGTTCCAGAGGCTGCTCAGTAGAAGTAAGCTTCTACTAAGTCATTATCTGACTTTCGGCAACCAAGGTCTAAGGGAAAAAACTCTTAAGAATAAGCAGATCAGTTAGCCAGAATACACAACTGATCTTAACAAATTTTTGAAAAATCTGCTCTGAATGGGACAGTCAAAGGAGCCCTTCAAATGGTAAATCATACTATAGGGTGTAGCACAAGCAACAGTTTCCTCTTGGCACAGAGGAAATGAACAGCAAAAGAACATTTTCATCTTTCAAGAGTATATTTTCTACCATAATAACATGGGACTTTTTCCTTAAGCAACTTAAAACAATATAGTAAAACTAAACTATTCTTTGGTATCGCAAGAAAACCTAACAATGAAGAGTGGAAAGAATGGATAAAGAGAATGCTGATATTTATCTGCTACTTACTTGCACCAGGAGTGAGCAAGCCAATTAAGGCCTTCTAACTGATAATCTCGGAGCTCCAGGTTCTCTCCACCTATGTAGGCTGGTTGTTTTTTTAAAGCAACAAACCTCGGTCTCTGCTTCAGGACCTATAAAGGCATAATTGTCACAAATGTTCTAGAATAAAAGTGATCCGAATGCGGAAAAAACTTTCCATGATTTTGCCCATATATTAACTATAATTTATAAAAGCTATACAAAGGAATGAAATATGAACTTCAGAAGATTTTTTCTTTCATCAAGTATTTGCCCAAAGCCTTAAAATAAAAAAGGATAACAAATCATCAAGAAATAAGGTAAAAGTCAAAACTAAGGTATTCTGTGCATATTATTTAACACCCTAAATCTATACTGGTACATCAATTATGTTTTAAAAGCATGCTTCTTTAGGATGTAAGCTTATGTTTTATTATCACCTAGCACAACATACTTGCATACCAGTTGGTCATTTATTAAAAAGACAACAGAGCCTTGTCATAAAACTGTTCACTTAAGAACATATAATACGAATCTGTCTTTTAGTCTATCTAAACAAATTTAGTTATTGAAATATCAAAAAGCACCCTGCTGCAACAAAGTGGTTTCACAGGCATTGATCTTGTAGGCACTATTACAGCAAAGTTTTTATGTTCTGATTATAAAGCTAATGATTACCGTATTAGTTTACCACTTCCTGAGGAGGGAGGAACTGAGTCATTTTTGACTCCAATCTTTTTCCCATTCTAAAACAACTACCATAAAGTCCTCACAATTTCTCTTTTGCAAAATCCCTTGCATCTACTCAACTCATTCCCATTGCTACTTCTCTACACAGATTTTAGAAATAACTTCCTAATGTTTCTCCCTTTTTGCAGAACTTCTCTTTTCTAATCCATCCTGGTCACCATCAGATAAATTTTTCACTGCTTTCATCTGTTTTATTTCATAGTTAAGACAAAATCCATAGCTCCCCAGTCCCCCTAAGATAAAAGTCCAAATTTCCTAGCCTACCATTCAAGGCCCTGACAATACTAGCATAACTGATTTTTCCAACCTAATCTCCTTCTATTTCCCTACAATTATCTGTTCCAACTGTACTGTTACGCACAGTCTCATTTTCATTTTAAAACTTCTTCTTGGCTAGAAAGCCCTGCCCCCCTATTCTTCACCTGTTCAAATCCAATTTATCCTTCCATGTAGAACTTAACCCCCACTCATTTTCTAGAAGGAATACAGCCATCCCTGTGCACAGTGATCATCTTCCCTCCTCCCTACTCCTGCAGCACTTACTGCCCTTATCCCTCATTTGGTACATGATCACATACTATCTAGTTCTAATACTTAACTTTTTATGTATTTATAGCTTGCTAATCCCAACTAGATTGTGTAATTGAGAGGAAAGACTATATCTTCTAATACTTTTTTTTTATCACTAACAAAACCTGTTCACACAATAGACACCAAGAGTAACTCTTCAACAACTATGATAGCACTTGCACCTTGAGATAACTTAAAGATGACAGAAGTGACTGTAAAGTGATAAGTAAATGGACCAGTTAGTGTGGTTCAAGCATCCTCACTTGGAATTCCTGACCTCATTTTTTTTTTACTTTTAAAGAAGATTAAATTTTTCATTGTCTTTTCCACAGCTGTTATTTTCCTAATATTATATTAACATTCTAGAGAATAAAACATGCATACCTCTGTAAATTAAATTTCATTTACCTCCTAATCTTCTCCATTATTTTTCACACCCCACATCCTTCTAATTGTACAATGAATTCATTTTTATTTCATTTCCAAGAAAGGGTCATTATTTCCCCTAACAAAGTTCACTCTATCTGACTTGACCAACCTTCACTTGGCTCATTTTTTATCAGGAATACACATTTTCTAATAAAAAACAAAATGAAATAGTCACCTACCTTGCAGTCTCTTGTGGGGATGGTTTTTGAGTTGTTCCTATTGTGGAAGCTGTCAATACAGTTTCGGAATTTCTTCCCAATCAGAGCTTCATCTTCCCAACTACATTCTGCATATGGCAATCCCATCCATTTGCATAGATATTCAGGTTCATTTGATGATGATTTCCGACTGTGAGCTATTTTACATATAAAAACCTATAAGTAACTATCACTTAAGGGAAAAAATATGGCACTCTCCATCTCATATATAATTAAAAGAAAATTTAATTACATTCTACCTAACAACATAATTATAAATTACACTGCAAAACAAAAGCTACTCCATAAAAAATTTTAGTCACAATAAAGACAAGAACACTGACTCACCTGGAAATTCTGTATGACCAGATGTTGACTTACTGGTCTTCACAGCTAGATAAGCCAAGGAAAAAAATGAGCATTAATATCTTTTCAGGAAAAAAGGTAAATGACATGCTAGAGGTAATAGAATAATAAAAAAATATTGCATTTTTAAAATGTAGTGCTGAGTCATGTGCTATAAATGAATTAAGTGAATTGCTGCATTCTTTTAGACTATAAGGGCAATAACTATCTAATTTTTTGTATCTATATCCCTAGTACCTACTATAACTTAGGCATTTAATGAAAAATAGTTGGTTGACTGTTGACTATGATATGGAATAATAAATAAACCCCACAACTGGTGACAACTAGAGAAGCATTTACCAGCTAAGGGCAATTTAAAAATTAGTCCTATACTGGCTTCAGTGATAATAAAATAAGCTAGTTTTTAACCATTTAAAGCTCTTCCAATTTGGATTTTCAAATAAGTTTTGGTCCTTCAAATGACAAAGGAAACAGATACACACATACACACACACACATTTTAATTTTAGAGCTAGCATATCTTAAATATAGACCACTTACACAGTATGTAAACAGCTTAGTATTTTAGTATTATTATATAGTTGAATAATTTTTTTCTGAAAAATAAACCTTTCCTACGTAAATTTTCAAAAGGTGAAAATGAAGTCAAATAGTGGACACTAAAAAATATCTATCCAATCAAAAGAGTGAATGTTAATACATTCTGATGTGATTCTATTTTATTTATTTAAAAAAATTAATGAACATGAACACATTAGAGAACACCTAAAGTGATTACAAAAGAAGAACATACAACGTCAATCTGCTAATCTATACTCACAAGGTTGTTGTAAGGGAAGTGCTTTGTAAGCCAGAAAATGCTATTGAAATGTGAGCTGACATTGTTAGTGATAAAAATAACCACAAACTGAGATACGTGTTTGGGCCTTGTGGTTCTTGTTTCACATTACTGGTTTTCATAACCCAGATGCAGACACTGTCGCTTGGGCCCATTCTCAGTCTCTTTTTTAAAAACTTCACTGTACTTACCTATCACTCTCTCCACTATTTGATACTGTTTATTTAGCTCAGAGGCTAACTCTTGTTGGCAATTAAAGTACTCCACATCTTCTGGTGAAACTTTCCCTAACCTAGACGTTAGGAAAATGGAAAGAACAAATTAAACAGCAATTACACTTGTGTGTATCTTAAACATAGTCCAAGTCATTGATGAGATTCATTTATATACTTCCAACTGCTATCCATTAACTATCGATGTTTCAGTCACTTTTGAAGAATCAGAAAGATATCCATGATCACAAATACAGAGATCATAGGGTGGATAGGTGATGGGGGCCTGAGAGAATATCTAATCCAACTCCCTCATTTTTACAACTGAGTTTAGCCCATAACTTGCCTGTGAGCTCACAGATAATAAATAGCAGAGATATTTTACTCTGGATCTTCTAACTCCAAGACTAATACTCTTTGTATCATACCACACTGAGGTCTAGGCCACATATTAGTTTATAATTTCAATTGAGAGCAAAGGTATCTGATATGCTAGAAAAAAATTTCTTACAAAAACAAAGAATCTTTTGTGAAGCACTACAGGTTTTATCACAATTGGCTACTTCATTGAAGTTGGCTGTTCATAGAAAAAATCTGAAGGTGCCATATTCAGTATATCTGAATAACTATAAATGTTTCCCATAAACCAAAAGTAAATCAGCATGGAAAGAAAGACAAATATTCCTATAAAATTTATGTGCTTTAGAAATGCATGAAATTGGGGCAGCTAGGTGGCACAGTGGATAGAGCATCAGCCCTGAAGTCAGGAGGACCTGAGTTCAAATCCAGCCTCAGACCAAATACTTGACACTTACTAGCTGTGTAACCCTGGGCAAGTCACTTAATCTCAATTGCCTTTAAAAAAAAAAAAGGAAATGCGTGAAATTATACTGAATAACTGTCAAAAATTATGATAATTCTTAAGCTACAGGAATGAAATCCCTTCCCCCATTTTTTTCCCCATTAACCCCCATACAACAATAGCACAATAAAAGTGCAGTGAGATTAGATACTTTTCTCCTAGGGAATCTCAAGTGCTTCATCATCTACCAAGCTGACCTAAAGGAAATAGACACAAGGATATGGCCTCTGCCTGTGATATAACTGGCATAGAGAACTCCTACATGAGGAAAATCTTTTAATCATTGCAGGTCAGGACTTACTTTGCAACACGGCCTTAGAGAGTTGCCTAGGGCCCTGAATGGTTAAGTGAGTTGTGACCACCCAGGGTCACACAGCCTATATATGTCAGAATCAGAACTTAAACTTCGGTCTTCTTCGCCTCCAAAGCCTATGCACTACATCATGCCATTCTCATGGCCAACATGATGTTGTATTACTAAACTAAGCAGCCACTGAAAATATTACTTTAGTAGAGATAACTTCTAAACTTATGACACTTCTTCAGAGTTCTAAATAACTTATGACTTAATTCAGGTCTTTATATATATAGTTCTTCTCTATTCTCATTTAGAGGTATATAGACTACAAAGTCAACAAAAAGGACTACTGCATTTTCAAGGTACTATGTTTTCTTAGAAAAGGGAGTAGAGGCTAACCCACAGGGCTCCATAAACTGTTCATTTCACAGCCTGTTGATTATCCACAATCATCAGTTCTGTGACCTCTGAAGTTCTATAAAATGGTAAGTATCAGACTACTCCTGAAAAACAGTTCATATAGGCTTTATCTCTTAACAGAAATGCAGCTATAACTGGCTCCATCGTAGCATGAAGGCAATACTTCAGTTCCTAAAAAGTAGCAAGGTCTCATTTTTTTCTTTTTGGCTAAGCTAATGGGGTTAAGTGATTTGCCCAGGGTCACACAGCTAGTAAGGGTCAAGTGTCTGAGGCCAGATTTGAACTCAAATCCTCCCGACTCCAGGGCCAATCCACTGTGCCACCTAGCTGCCCCTCTCATTTTCTCATTTAAATAAAAATCCTCTTTATGGACTGTCTACAACCCTTTCCACCTCAAGGCTACACAAAATCTATTTCTTCACTCCATGAATGAAACCATACCATTGTTTGATTTCATCCTCTTTTTTCTTAAAGTTTTCCAGTTTTTTCATCCCCTTCACTTTCTGTTGCTGTAGGGATTCTTCACTCTCCCATGTGCTGTGGATATAGGACCAGCCCTTCCATTTAATCAGGTATTGAACTTCTCCCTCGTCCTTTTCAGGGTCAAAGTCAGCACTAGGGTTGCCATTAGCTTCAGTTGCATAAACAGTAGTGGAAGCTCCGGTGGCTGTAAAAAGGGTTTCATTAAAAATTCTACTGTAGTATGGTAGCTAGTAAGTCAAACACTACAACAACCATTTGAACAGGCAGTCAGTTTTCTAAAGACTCTCATTTGGGAAACAACATAGAAATAACTTTATGAATGTAAAGAACTGGAATCTCATTAGTCATGACAAATAAAGTAATTTACTCTCAAACAAGAAGACATTTCAATGTTCTCAAGTGGCTGACTCAACTTCCATTTAAACTTAGATAAGAACATACAGGTTAAAAAAAAAAAAGAAAGGAAGGAACCTGCTGAGCTTTAGGGTGGATTTCACTCCACAGAAAAGTCTAAAGAACTAATAATCTCCATGATGGGAACTTTAAAACAACTGAGTTGGAATTTTTAAATGGATATGGGAAATAAGTCCCTATTGTGCATTTAACAGGTCTGATGAATACCCCATTAAAATGCTTTTGTATATGATATCATGGATTCATTTTGCATGACTGCACATGTATAACCGATATCAAACTGCTTGCCTTCTCAGTGGGGGTAGGGATAGTGGGGAGGAAGGAAGGGAGAGAATTTGGAACTCAAAATTTTAAAAATGAATGTTAAAAAAATGTTTTTACATATAACTGGGGGGAAATTTTTTTAAATAAATAATTTTTTTTAAAAAATGCTTTTGTAGGACCAAGACCCAGCAAGAAACAACCACAATGTGGATTATATCATATAATCACTGAATTTTAGAGCTGTAAAGGACTTTAAAGACCATAAGGAAACTGAGTTTCAAAGAGAACAAATGACAATAGTTAGTGGTAAAGTGAAGAACAGGTACGAGCTCACTTCTACTGACTTTCAACTGCAGTGATCTTACACTATGCTGCCTCCCAAAGTTCAATATTACTGAATAAATATTTCTGCTATGCAATGTTCTACACAGATACCACCAGTATGTTACTTTTATTTACCTCAATTTTTAATCCAAAAAATTATACAAACTAAATGGCATTTTTCCCTCTTTGCCATACTAATGTTTACCTGTGAGGCAATACATTAGCACAGAAACAAGAGCCACAGAATAGTAACAAGTTTTAATGACCACTATGAATATTGGGACTGATATAATCATCTCAACTTCAACTCTATGTAAAAATTTCCATCTCATTGACCATATTTATGAGAAGCAATCTATTCTTCAAGACACATACCACCTTTTTTCCCAAATCTTGCATCCATGACCTTTTCAATTGTCTCACTATTATCATGTTGTTCTTCAACTCCTTCTCCAGTCATTTCAATGAGATCATCTGAGTCAGTTTCAAAATCATCATCTTCTTTATAACTGAATTAGAAATAAGGTTGATTAAATTGAAAATATTTATCTTTTTTTTTCAGCTAGCCACTATTCAAACATACAGAGAATCATATTAATATTAATATAAATCAATGTACTATATATATATACAGTGCACTGAAGCATGCAGAGGACTTTTTATACATTATCTCAACACATTACTTAAAATCAGAGCATTGATTCTGCAATACCACTACTAGGTCTGTGTACGAAGGGATCAAAAAAAAAAGGAAAAGGACATATGTGTACAAAAATATCTATAACAGCTCTTTTGTGATGGCAAAGAATTAGAAATTGAGAGGATGCTCATCGATTGAAGAACGCCTAAACAAATCGTGGTATATGATTGTGGAGTGCTATTGTGTTACAGAAATGATGAGGGAGTGGTTTTAGAAGTAACATGGCAAGATCTATACAACCTGATGCAAAGTTAAGTGAGAAGAACTAGGAGATCATTATGCATAGTAACAGCAATGTAATGATGATCAACCGTGAAAGATTTGCCTACTCTGATCAATACAGTAATGAAAATCAATTCCAAAGGACTCATGATGAAGAAATGCCATCCACTTCCAGAAAGAGAACTGATGAATTCTTGAGTACAAACTGAAGTATAATTTTCTCCCCTTTTTTTGGCCTTTTTTATGATATGGCTAATATGGAAATATGCCTTACAAGATTTCACATGTATAATTTATAATTGATATCATATTGTTTGCCTTTTCAGTGGGTGGGGGAGGGGTGGGAGTAAAGGCAAGAATCCACAATTCAAAATTTAAAAAGAAAGGAATGTTAAAAATAAGTTAACAAATCAAAATTTTAAAACAATATATATTTTAAAAAAAACAAAATCAGAGCATGAAGTTATTCAAAGGAGTCACTGCTCATTCTTTGGGTCCAAAGTTTATTCTTTGTATGTTGAAAGGGCAGATGTACACCTGAAGGAGAAGGCAGTAAAACTACTTCCTAAGCAGCTATGTGACTTCAGTCCCATTACTGACACTTTTTAGAGGTGGTAAAAAGCACCTCCATCTCACAGATGAGTAAGCAAAAATATAAATGTATTTGGGAGTCACATAGCAATTCAAAACAATTAATAAAAACAGAGAAGTTTTCATGAGAAAAATGTAAATGTATGTGTGTGCCTGTGTCATTGAACAATACTACTATCAATAGACACTGACTTTGATTCTGTGTGGGTAGATTAAACCCACCAGCAGCGCACTGATATATATACACCTTTATTCTTTTTATTCCTCTTATAAACAATATAACACATCTGCAAGGTGACTGGCCAATGTTAGAGAAGTATTCTCTGGCCATGAAACAAGATTCTCTCTGGAAAACTAGTGGAGTCACACAGAATCAAAGGAAAATTTTTCTCAATAGGTATCGCCTTTGATTCAGTTGGGCTATCATTCACATGACTGAACAATATCTCCAAAGTCACAATATACCTGACATTCTTGGCAGCTCTGCGACGAGTTTGCCTTTTTGGAGTCTCGTCATCATCATCGTCATCGTCATCATCAGAAGAATCTTGTTTCTTTCTTCTTTTTCCACGCTGTGGTTTATGTTGCTTTTTAACACTGGTTTTAGGCACTGCTCTAAAAGGAGTTAATGATAATAATAATAATAATATATACATACATACATAGTATATATGCAAATAAAAACACACAAATGATACAATGTCAGTATTTTCACCAAGGAAGATTAAAACTTAAACTAGTAGAATTCCCGGCCTTGATGAAATGTTTCACAGGCATGCTGTACTTTCTCAGAAACAAAATATAGAAAAGTAAGTCTTGTAATTGTATTCCCTAAAATACAGAAGAATCTCTGTACAGGATTGAGACGTGGCATAGATCCTACAAGTACCACGAGAAAATTTACCAGAATGGTACATTGTAATAGAGAAGGATAAGGAGGAAGAGAACAGAGAGAGGAAAGTGCAAATGACTAAGATGAAGAAAGGCTCCCAGTAGCAACCTTATTATCAGCCCCTTCCAATTCCTACTGTGAAGGATGAAGATTTGGAAGAGGAAGTCACTAGACTAAATGAACTCTAGGGGCTATGTACTACTATAATGAATTGAAAGATGGACTGTGCAGTCTTCTAAACTACATCTGCTATCTTTAACTCAAACTTCAATAAAAAACCCATAACCACAATAAAGGTGAAACAGAAGACGATTTTCAGTAGTATATAAGTTGTTCTGGGAGTCTAGACAACATTATTACAAAGTAGGTAAAGTTTGCTACGTGCCATTCCATCTCCTGCCTTTGCTTTTCCTCTCACCCAAGCCCCGCACCAAAGTTGGCTTACCCTCTCATTCCAAAAAATAACACACACCCCTATCAACTTTATTCTTAACTAATCAAAATTCTCATTAATTTTTTAATGATACCACTTTAGATGTTCTAATAGTCTGATTAAAGTAACACTAAAGGCTATAAAAATGTGCATACCCTTTGACCCAGCAATAGCACTTCTAGGGCTACATCCCAAAGAGATCGTACAAATGGGAAAAGGACCCACATGTACAAAAATATTTATAGCAGCTCTTTTTGTGGTGGCAAAGAATTGGAAATCGAGAGGATGCCCATCAATTGGGGAATGGCTGAGCAAGTTGTGGTATATGAATGTGATGGAATACTACTGTGCTATAAGAAATGATGAACAGGCTGACTTCAGAAAAACCTGGAAAGATTTGTATGGTCTGATGCTGAATGAAGTGAGCAGAACCAAGAGAACATCGTACACAATAACAGCCAAGTTGTGCGATGACTAATATTGACAGACTTATCTCTTCTCAGCAATACAAGGATCTAAGACATCTCTAAAGGCCTCGGAACAGAAAATGCTATCCACATCCAAAGAAAGAACTATGACGTTTGAATGCAGATTGAAGCATACTATTCGCTATTTTTTTTTCTTCTGTTGAGTTTTGTTTCCTCTTTCTGGTGGCTCCTCCTGGTTCTAATTCTTACTTACAACATCACTAATGTGAAAATATGTTTAATAGGAATGTAAATGTATAGCCTATATCAGATTGTGAGCCACCTTGGGGAGGATATTGGGGAGGGAGGGGGAGAAAAATTTTAAACTCAAAAGCATATGGAAGTGATTGCTGATAAATCAAAATAAATTAATTAAAAAAAAATAAAGTAACACTAAAGTATGAATAAACAATTACTATAATATACCAAGAAATGCTTACCTTTTTTTTTAAAAGCAAGCAAAATGGAATGTTTAAGAAAATACATTTGACTAGGGAGCTCTTCTTTCTCTTCTTCCTAACCCAAATAGTCCAGCTGGAGGTTAAATATGTGGAATAAACATCCGAGGGCCTTAATCTTATTTCTATTCCTACGCCCTCTAATCCCCACTACCTTTACAAGAAGCCCTATACCCTGAACTCAGCTTAGGCTATAGCATATATTTCTTGAATTCTTAACTAAAATCTCTAAGGCAGCAAATAATCTGAACGTTCCCCAGAATTTTGCCCATTATAATTTTAAATAATTCAAGCAATAAGTTTTTTATTCTTTTTAAATTTTTTTTATTTTTAGGCAATTGGGATTAAGTGACTTGCCCAGGGTCACACAGCTAGTAAGTGTCAAGTGTTTGGTCTGAGGCCGGATTTGAACTCAGGTCCTCCTGACTTCAGGGCCGGGGCTCTATCCACTGCGCCACCTAGATGCCCCCTAAGTCTTTTATTCTTTCTCATGAGAAACAATCCTAACGCTTGCCTTGTCCATGGTAATCCTTTTTATTTCTGTTAAAGAGATCTGTTCCAGTACTATGTCTTCATATCAACCAACAACGCCTACAACATATGCAAACCATGTATGCCTCCAAATTCACAGATAAAAAAAAGAGTCCCTCACCTCCTTAAGACAGGGCGTCTGGCTTTCACTTTTTTTTGTTCTGGTTCACTCTCCGCACTAGTACCTTGCTCTTGTTCATCTTCCTCATCCTCTTCCTCAGAAGCCTCCTTTTTCCATTTTTCTCTGTGACCAAGGGCAAAAAAATTAAAGGATTTTTACTAGGAGAATTTCAACTCTGTTGATCCACAAAGAACACATAGAAAGCTAATAAAACAAGTTTTGATCTGCAGAAATTGGCTCAATATAGAATTCAATTTAAGGACTAACTTTGACCCTGGTTCATTTCTGTATCTATGGTATCCTAAAATTGTATATCCTTTTCTAATTATTCTGTAAGTTAAGAAAAAAGACAAATTATTATATACCTGTATTTTTAATAGGTGCATTATAAATATATAATTTTTTGGTATTAAATTTTCTCATATCTTTCACATGATCAATATGGTAAAACTCTTAATAGCCATTCAAGAAAAAAAATCCCTGATTTTTCAAAGAATTAAATTTCAAAGAAAAATCAAGGGAAATTTTTGAACTGGAATTTCTTAAGGTTATTTTTCATGAACCACCTAGGGTAACCCTCTCATTTTACATAAAAGGACATTGGAGCTAAGAGACTTGGTGAAGGTCAGAGAAGTATGTGATGATAAAAACTAAAAACAAAGATCTCTGAGGTCTTTAAAACTATGAAGCACTACATACATAAAGATCAAAGAGCAAATACTAAACATATAATGTTTTATAGTGAACACTGTGAAGTATATGTATAGTATACACTGTGAAGTAGACAGATTATAATTCTCATTTTATAAATAAGGAAGCAGACTCAAATAGGTTAAGCGACTTGCTCAAAGCAGTAAACCGCAGAACTAAAATTATAAACTAGGTGGGTTACTTCCCCCAAAAAATCAACAACCCAATTTTATTTTCAAAGTCTAGAGTATAACTGATAATGTTCACATCAGTTAAATGGTCTACCAATTAAACTCTGCTGTGTGCAGAATGTTGTGACTTCCCAAGTACTCAAGTATTGTGTCAGGATATTTCTTTTTTCTTTTTGTAGGATATTTCTTCATGAAGTCTTCCCTGACTACTATCTTCTAAGCAGATCTTTTCAAAACTGTTTTACTGATTTTCATAAAATACTGCTGTCACTTTCCAATCCCATACTCTCATCCCACCCCTACCCTCCTACACTTCAATCCAGCATAAAGAATGATATTTACACAATAAACACGCTAGCAATTTCTGACAAAAGATGCCCCATTCCACACCTATTAACTGTCAACCACCCCTCTGACAGCTCTGGGATCAAAATTCATCAACTGCATTAAATCAGAGTTCTTATGTATTTCAATGCTGTTTTCCTCTATGTCATAGAGATGATTGTATAAAGTTTTCTCTCCTGCTTACTTTCCTCTGCATAATTCATACAAGTCTTCTAGAATTCTTGAATTCTTTGAAGCCAATTCTTATGAACAATAATATTCCATTACATTAATATACTACAATTATTCAGCTATTCCCTAATCAATAGGCACCTATTTAATTCTAATTTTTTACTACCACAAAAGTACTGCTAAATTTTTGTGCACATGAGACTTTCTCCTCTGTTTCTGACTTCATTTGGGTTATCTAGTAGTGATATGCCTGGGTCAATGGGTAATGTACAGTTTAATGATTTTTCTTATATAGTTTCAAATTGCCTTCCAAAATAGCAATTAATTCACAGGTATATTATTGCTCCTATCTTCCTATAGCTTCTCCAACATTTAGTTGCATTAATTCCAAAGGACATTACTGTTTCTGTCTTCCCACAAACTCTCTAACATTTATCATTTTTGTCATTTTTGTCAGTATGAAAACAGTAAAGAAAAATCTCAAAGAGTTTTTTTATATTCCCATTTCTCTTATTATTAGTGATCTGGGCCATTCTTCATATGGTTGTTGACAGTGTGCAGTTTTTTCTTTTTTTAGGCAATTGGAGTTAAGTGACTTGCCCAGGGTGACACAGCTAGTAAGTGTCAAGAGTTTGGTCTGAGGCAGGATTTGAACTCAGGTCCTCCTGACTTCAGGGCCGGTGCTCTATCAATTGTGCTGCAGTTTTTTCTTTTGAAAGCTATCTCTTTTTATCCTTTAACCAATTATCTATTGAGGAACACCTAGATTTTTCTAACTTGTAGTTTAGTCCTCTCTCTATTCTCCAGTACTATATACTAAGGGTGCCCTAGGACCCATTATACATCTTTACCCACAGTGTAGGAAGAGAGACTGGTGTTTTTTTCTACCTTTGACTCCGCAAATCACAGCATCATACTTAGTTATTTTGATGAATCTGTGATCTCATCAATATAGATAATTCTCTCCATCAGAAGAGTTGGCAATCCATTCATGTTTATCTAACTTGTGTCCCTGTCTGACTCTTGTCCATGGTGTCCTATAAATCCTATGTATGAGGCAACAAAGGCTTTCCCCTGAATGTGAAGCCAAGACCATCCTTCAAATAGCTTTCACTGTTAATAAATGACAACCTACCCACCCACCTCTTTTTCCAGTAATTCATCTCTCTTATACCCTTTTACACTACCACACAATTCTTCAGTGATTCTATGTTTCAACCTACTCATACCTTTGCATACAGAAGTTAAATTGTTAGCTGAAAGTGGCCATTCTTTAAAACAAAACCTTCTTTTAAAGTTACTAAATTCTGCACACAGTGTCTGCAGACCTTCAGAAGTAAACTTTAGGTTGCTGTATAGTTCCTGTTAGGGACAGGGGTAGTTTCACTGATATGGTGAACTCCCAAATAGTATCTCCTCTATTACTACAGGTTGTTACATTGTCTGTAGCTTATAGACTTTGAGAGTTGTCCAGAGTACCAAGAGGTTAACTGATTTGCCCAGTGTTATACAGCATGTTTCAGAGGTGGACCTAAACCCAGCTCTCCCCAGCTCTGAAGTCATTTCTCTATCCATTTCATACACTGCCTCTAAGTTCTTAAGAAACAAACACCTACTTTAAGCTTATTCCCAGGGTAGCCTATCAATAACCCTTACAAAATTTGGTATCTACCAGCACTGACCACATTTACTTCAGATGTGGTCTGACCAGGGCAAAGTAGAGGGTAGGATCTGTCTCTTTCCAAATCCTGTGCCTCCCTAACTGCAGCGTAACAGTGCATCAGCTTTTCTGGTTGCTTTATTATACCATGCCAGGGTGCCATATAAAATGAATTTACAATCCACCCTCTGGGTGGCACTTAATTGCTGAACTTAATGGGAAACTATCATCCAAATATAGACTAAAGGAGGGAAGACTGACAGGCATTATCCCATTCAGATCCTGCCCCTACAGGGAGAAGGACGTGGGTGGTTGAACAATGAGAAAGTGAGAGGCATCTCTTCTATTACCAGTCTGAAATAAATCACGGAGAAATTAAACTTTGTGCTTTGGAAGCAGGAATGAGGCAAAAACCTCCAGTGCCTTGATACAGCCAACAGAGAAAGCACAAATTCCATAAGGCCATGTGACCATGTGACCATGTGGCTACAAAACACCTAGATTAGTACAAAGGCTTGGCAATACTCCCAACATACAAGAATATCAACTTAATGTTAAGAGCTGACAGTGTAATTCTTCCATCTCTGGAGAAATATTTGAAGCATGTGAAAATTGACCTGATTCTGGGTAGGGTAATATTATAAATGTTTCCAATTCATTTATTTTGGGAAGACTAACAGTATAAGAGGAATTCAGTTATTTCTTTAAGAAGATTAAAATGAACACTAAATTTTAATTAAAACACAAATTTCACCACAAAGTTAAGAAAAATGTTATAAAATATGCATAAAAATAGTATAAGATCAAAGATTCAAGGGAAGGGTTATGCCCAGAAAGAGAGTAAGATTGAATCACTAGTATAATTTCACTTATAATAAATAAGAAGTAGAAATCTTAACTTTCAAAAATTTTATTTATTGTTCTACCATAAAATGACACTAACAAGACTGCATCATTTCTACTCTTCTTAGATAAAGACATATTTAAATTTGTGAAAAATTTCTACACTATCTGGTGGGTTTGGTGCTGTTGTTTAAGAAAACGAAGTAACAATCAGATAAAACAAGCTAAGTTTTCTCAAACTGCAGTCCAAGAACTTGCTTATCTGTCCTCCACAGATTAAGGTGAGGTACTCAGCAAGGACTAGAAGCTGACGCATCAGTAATTTGTCTAAAGATGTACAGCACACACAAAAAAAAGTATAAGAACTATTGGACAAGCAATTACTCCCATTTAGACTTACTGTTTTTTCAGTATCCTCTGGCCTCTTCTTTTTGGGCTCCCACATTCAGAACCACTACTTGCCTTCAGGGAAGATAATGCAAAAAAGGGAAGAGAGAGAAAAAATAAAGCAGATAATAGGTTTTTTATTTGTGCTCCTTAGGAATGACCCTCTAACTTTGGGATTAGGAACCTAGTCCATATACCACATTCAGTATGAGACTGGCTAGAAGAAAAACCTAAGCATTTCCTTAGTGGGGGTCACCAAAATCAAAATGTTTTGGCCATTTCATTTCTTCTCTTCTATAGTAGTTAGACAGCAGTACTACTACTGAAATATTTAAAGATATATGACATTTCCTTTCAATTGTTTTCCAGTAAATGGGGTAATATAAGTAACTTGGAATAAAAAAAAGCATGGAAGGTCCAAAGGATCAGTCTAATGTTATTACACCACCAAGTATATAAGAGACTATGACTCATTAATTTCCAAAAAATTGAATGGCATTTTCTTGTTGCTTATATGCAAATAGTATTGTGCCACGACAATTACATAAAAGAAAGCCTACATTCAAAGATGCTTAAACAATTACCCGTTCTATTCTCTAGAAATGGATAGAGGGTGGCATGCGAAGCAAACAAAAAGTTTCAGGTCTAATATTGCCTTAAAGCAGTGTTTCCTCATTTGGTTACAGAAAACCGTGGGCCTTAAAATAAATTGACAAAACCTCCATCTTACATTTTTCCTCCAAATCCCTATTCACAGTGCACAAACTGCCCAGGGTGCCACAGAATACAGTGTGGGATGCGCTACCTTACAGTTCTCCCTTATCTTCTTACCTCTTCTTTAATATTAAATCTAGATGGTTCCTGTCGGCTTCGATTTGACCTCCTAACGCCATACACATCAGGATACTCTTCCCACATCTGAAAAATAAAAGAGACTCTTAGAGGAGCTGCTTCACTCCACTTAACGTCTTGTTTTGAAACTTTCAATAACTGCACAAAACATTTGAGTTTTGTAAGATTCGTGTGTTTCGGTATGTTACAAATATAATGAAAAGAACCTATTTTTAAAATATGAGAAACTGTATCACCTAGTAACGAATTCAGAGACATGGGTCTTTAGCACTTCTTTTTTTACATAGTTTACAAATAGCTTTAAATATGCCATCCATATGAATAGCACACAAATGATACTTCTACTTGCCTTTTTTTTAAAAGACTTCTTCAATAAACATCCCTCAGTCAAACAAGGTACATAGAAAATTATACAACATTATAATGTAGCTATCCTCAACCCCAGGAACAATTTTATACATATACACACAAAGGAATACTATTTTCCTGCTGGTATATGTGTTAGGTGGAATATAATGGGAGGGAATAGGAGGTGGGGGAAAGTTAGTCCAGACTGGCCATTTCTCTGATATAAAGAATTCCTAATGTGAAAACTCTGAACTGAAGCAGATCTCATCGGCACATAGACAGTACAGGTCAGAAGCAGGACTTGAACTTGGGTCTGCTTGAGTCCATGCACTAATGCTATGTATCAATACATTATTAATAATAGTAAAATAACTGACACTAATATAGCCCTGTAAAATTTATAAGACACTCTAATCTGAGCCACACAATAACCCTATGAGGAAGGTATTACGATTACTGCCTCCATTTAATAGATAAGGAATTTGAGATTCAAAGAGTGATTTACCCATCCTTTCTCCAATCTTCAATCTCTCCCTATAGACTGCCCTGACGTCTACAAACATGCCCTTCACTTGGCCCTGATATTGCCCTCAAGATAGTAATACCCTATGTATCTCCACACTTTCTCAAACAAACTTTTTAAAAAGCTCCCTGTCTCTACTTCCTGTCCTCTTACTTTTCACTGAGCCATCCCACCTAGTTCAGGTTCAGAGTTGTCTTTCAATTCTAACTCCTGCCTGTTCACTATATTTTAATTTTGGCATCTGCAAGGTTCTATCTTTGGACTTTTCTTTTTTCACACCTGCTCCCTTGACAATCTCTTTTATTCCTAAGGATCATCTTTTCACAGATGACTTAAAAACCTTTGGCTGCACAGATTCTTCAGATCCATCTCACCCAAGCCCAAAGGCCACAGCTCCGATTGCCTCCGAGGATCACTTCCACCACAGTGAGACTCCTTGATATCTTTTTTTACCATTACCATATTTCTTATGAGAGTAGAGCTATGGACCTAGAGCTGGAAGGAACTTCCAAGGCCATCCAGTGCCACCACTCATCTTACAGATGGTAAAACTGAGGCCCAGAGAAGTTAGGTGACTTGCCAAGATCATATAATTAGTGTCATAACCAAAATGAACTTATTTTTCCAATCAAACCTGCTTCTCTTGCTGATTTCCCTCCTTTTCTAAGTGACATAGCCCTCTATTATTGCCTCGTACTTCATCTCTGCCTTCCATAGCCAAGTAGTACATAATTCAATTCTTCAGCAATCTCACTTCTATCCTTGACTCTGTACTTCCACTGTCATCACCTGAATACAGTCCCTAGATCTGTAACAATGGTGTCCTGACTTATAATCCCACCTCTAGTCTCTACCTACTCTAATCCATTCTTTATACTGTTGCCAAAGTAATTTTTGCTCTACAAGCATCTGTTAGTGTCTCTCTTCAGTTCCTTACCTGCCATTCAAAGATCTCTACGCTTCAGCTTTACTCCACTACTCTCCATTTCCTTGAGTTTGTATTTGATCACACCATTGCCTATGCACCCTTCTCTCTCCCATTCCCTCTTCCTTCCCCTCATTTCTCCTATTCCTCCTGCCCCCTTGGAGGATTAAATAGTCCTTTCTGCCAATGCCCTTAAACCCCACTACTCTCCAACCTCAAGAACCTTGTTCCAATGATCAATCCCTTGTTTAATCTTCACACACACTCTCTCAATTGGCTTCTTCCTCTCTGACTACAGATATGCTCATCTCCTCTAATTAAAAAAAAACATTCAATTTATCAATTCATGATTAAGAACTAACTTTTGTTACCTCAGTCTAACTTTTTTTTTCTATGGAAAAACCTTCATTTACAAAAAGTTGGGGTTCTAATCTGAAATATAAGAGAATATTAAAAGGACTTAACCCTAACCTTAAATCCAATTAATAGTTCTTAGGAGTAAATAGCAAGTCATCTCAACAACTCCAAACAAATACCTCCAAACAGGCAGTCAGGGCACCCACACATTGGGAGAACTCATTTTGGAAGAACAGCTATCTCCCCCTAACCTAACTTTCTTAGGTAAATGTTTTCTGCCTGCATATGGAACTACGGTTTTAGCTAGCTGAAATTAAATTTGCATATATTCCTAATATAGACAGGCTATCTAGAGTTCTGTTACACAAATATTAAGTGACTACCTACTTCTTTGATACCTCCTTAGTAAGCTAGAAACAGATCTACTGCACTTTACCTAATATTCATCACTGTTTCCCTTAGAATCTGTGTCCCTAAATTCAGGGTACAATTTTAAAATCTAATACAGGCATACCTTGGAGATATTGCAGGTTCAGTTCCAGACCACCACAATAAAGGAAATATTGCAATAAAGTGAGTCACACAAAATTTTTGGTTTCCCAGTGCACATAAAAGTTGTGTTTACGCTAGACTGTAGTCTATCAAGTGTGTAATATGTATTATGTCTAAAAAAAAACAACATACTTGCCTTAAATAAAAAATACTTTATAGCTAAAAAATGCTAACCATCATTTAAGCCTTCAGTGAGTTATAATCTTTTTGCTGGTGGAGAGTCTTGCCTCAATGTAGATGGTTGCTGATTAAAAATGGTGGTGGCTGCTGAAGGATGGGGTGGCTGTAGTAATTTCTTAAAATATGACAACAATAAAGTTTGCCCCATAGACTGACTTTTCCTTTCACTTGAACACTTTGAGACCATTATAGGTTACTATTTGGCCTAATTTCAATATTATTGTGTCTCAGGGAACAGGAAGGTAAGGGAAGAGAGAGAGTGACAGGGAATCAGTTGGGTCAGTGGAGCAGTCAGCACACACACAACATTTATCAATTAAATTTGCTGTCTTATATGAGTGTGGTTCATGGTGCCCCAAAACAATTTCAATAGTAACAACAAAGATCACAGATCACCATGACAGATATAATAATAGCTTAAAAGTTTGAAATATTGTGAGAATTACCAAAATGTGATACAGAGACAAAATATGAGCTCATGCTATTGGAAAAATGGTGCCAACAGAATTGCTTGACACAGGGTTGCCACAAACCTTCAATTTGCAAAATGTGCATTATCTGTGAAGTGCCATAAAACAAGGTATGCCTATATACAAGCTGTATAGGAATTTTTTGACAAGCAAATTAAAACTATAGTTAAACTTCATTAAGACTTAAGTTATAACTTAAGACCAAAAACTAGTGAAATATCTGTTACATAATTATCAAGATACCATATTGCTCATATCATTTGCTTTACTTTTCATTCTTTGATATAACTATCTCAGCATTCTCAGTTAATAGAAATCATTTAGTGGAAATTTCACAAACTCTGAGAGGAAGATCTTTTTTGTTATGCTAAGGATATCTATCTTATCTAAGTAAGGAAAAATCACTTGTGAATCTAATGATTAATTCTCTTTTAAGCTGCTACTCACAGTAATTCTCAGAAGAAAAAGAGTCATATAATCATGTTTATAGTCACATATGCCTCTTTTCCAACTTCTTCTACTTCTGGTTTCCTTCCCAATAGCTTTGGCTACCCTCCCAAGACTCTGAATATGCATAAGGTTCACCTAAACTCCAACCCCACAGCAACTCTATTAAGCCTCACACATTAAAACATCATTTTCAAGCACAAGCAGGTGTTAGCCTCATCCTTTCAGCAGACAGTCTACCTTCCTTCAGCTTGTAACCCTTTCCTGTTTGTCTCCATAAATGCCATTAACAATTGGGTGTACTTCTGGGCAGGGTCTGTCCTTCAACTTCCTCCCCCTCCATAAGGCCAGTTCCTCCATCACATCTCATTCTTCCCAGCTAGCATTGCTCCAGGTTCAACTCCTCTCTAGTTTTCTTGAGATAAACTTTTGCTATAAACATGGGAGTTTCTCAGCTAATTACCATAAACCAAATGTACCTGACACACTTCCTACTGAAAACTTTGCATTTCTGAGAAGGTCTCAATCCCATACTAACAAATTCTAATCTACTCAAGTAAACTAAAAGGGCATTTGACAAAAATAAGTAGTTTCTTTGTTCACTCTATTTACAACTTTGCTTTTTGTTGCACCTTTATGGTGATTGGAAATTTACACCAAAAACAAATACATTCTCCCTATCTACCAAATCCTAAATGTAGTGATATGGATAATTAAATATTTTCTGCTTCCTCCCTCACTTTTGTTGTTACTGGAAAAAAAAATTTAGTAGATCAATATGGAAGGAAGCAAATAATATAATACATTGCACAAAGTAAGCTAATAATGACTGAATGTTGAATTGACCTAAATTCTATATCCAGAAAAAGGATGTTAACACATCAACAAGAATGTTCATCTTTCAAGTATAAGATACAAATTCTATCAATGGAAATGAAGGTTTGATAGTGGCATGAAAATGAGAAATACCTTTTTAACATCAGCTATACGTTCCTTCTTAGAGGCTGGCTTTTCTTTGGCTTCCGGTGGGGTTTGCTGGGATTTGGAACCTGCTGATTCGCTTTCGGACTCAGTCTGACTCTCTGAAGATTCGGAACTGCTGTTTGATTCGCTGCCATGCCCACTGCCTGGCTCACTGCCCTGTTCACTTTCAGACTGGCTAGCTGAGTCTGAGCCTGATGCTTCTTCAGATGCTGAATGACTTATTGGGGAAAAAAAAATTAAACCTACGTTATATTAATCTGACAAAGAAATCAGAAAAATGTCATTGAGGTCATTAATTATAGGAATCTTATTTATATATTATTTTTATTCAATACTCTTATCAAAAACATCTTCCACACTTTCATCACACTCCTAACACTCCTATGATGTGGCCAATACTATGCCTACTTATACTGCACATCTCCATTCCAGTGTTTGGTACAGCATTTGTACCTGTTGTATGGCAACTGTGGTAATATTAAATCTCATGCTTACGAATCTTCGCTATAAGGGTAGGCAGTGGTATACTACTTACTGTGTAACCAATTAAAATTCTTTAAGACTTACTTTCAAAATCTGTAAAGTGAGGATAACAAGACTTGCATTGTCCACCTCAAAGAATAGTAGTAAGGAAAGTGCTTTGTAAATCAGAAAGCACTATTATATTATTGCTATATTAATCTTTACTAAAAAGTTAGACTAGGTATAACATCACTGGATCACTTTGTGTCTTGATTTTCTATCCTGCAAAATCAGACAGCTCTTCTGCAGCAGCAATCTCTAAGTCAGCAAACTATCTGAACTCATAGCACTTGGTCATGAAGCATCATTTCCTCAGCCACAAGGGGAAACTGGCAAAATATGAATGGACATACTATTTTAAATCAAAGCCTCCTCAAAGGACTGCATGTGTCCATCCATGCAGCCAGCAGGTGGGGCCCTGGACCATGCTCTAGTCTTCAGCTACTTGTGTTTACCAAAGATTTGAGATAACCCTGGATCCCCCTAACTAGTAGTCCTTCTGAGTACACCCGCTCTATTCTATACTGCTGCACTGATACCCATAGCAGCATGCCCAGATTATCTAGTACATTCTCAATATTCTCCCTCTTAATACTGAAGGGCAACAAGGCATAATACATAGATAATTAGACTTGGAGACAAGAGGACCTTGGTTCAAATTTCACCTCAGACATTTACTAACTGTGTGATTGTAGGCAAGTCACTAAGAAACCTCTCTTGACCTCAGTTTCTTCATTTGAAAAATGCAGCTAATACTTGTAGTGCTTAACTTACATGGATAATTATAAGGCTTAAATGGTATAATGTATGTAAAGCACTTTGCAAACCTTAAAGTGCTACATAAACATCTATTTTTTTATCACTATTTCTGATTCTCCTGGTTATCTTAACTGTATACCTATTAATTGTGCCAGGAGAGGAAAGGAGGGATAGAATTTGGAACTCAAAACTTTTTTAAAAAGACAAATGTCAAAAACTGTTTTTGCATGTAATTGGGGAAAATAAAATACGAATGAAAAATAAAAGCAAAATGAACAGCACAGAAAAAAAAAGAATGGAAAGGTAGGAAGGGGGCAGGTTATTCCATATGACACTGTATTTTATGTAGAGGTATTAGGGAGCTACTAGTTTCTTTAGTAGCGGGAAGATGTGGTAGACCAATATCAAAATTACTTTAGCAGCTAAGGGGAAAATCACTTTGGAAACTTTCAGTGAATGGCTCCAAGTTTTTCCGTGAAGTATGGAGAGGTCCTCAGCACAAAGTGTAAGGGAGTAGATGTAGTGAGAGGCTAGAGGAAAGAGCAGAAAATCTGGAATAGCTGCAATGGAGTGAGATAGTGAACTGATTAGGGAGGAATAGAAAGACAGCCTAATAGTAGAGAGCCCAACTAAGATGGGATAATATAAATGCACAGTAGAACCAATCAGTAGCTTGATGATTTCCTCTAGAAGCATGTAAATAAGAAAAGAGTCAGATGATAGGAATAATCCAGAATTGCAGTTTTGAAAGGCATAATCAGGATAGTACAAGGAGAGGAACTGGAAACTAGAGTTGAACTGGTTCACCAAGGAGTCAAGATGGGAAAGGGAAACTGGCCAGTGCAGAGGTCACAGTCTAGAAAAGAATTGAGAGGATGTAGGGAATGGAGATCAGGGGTTGGGAGTCATAAGGAATAGAGAAAAACAAGGGGTAGCTAGGTGGTACAGTAGATAGAGCACCGACCCTTAAGTCAGGAGGACCTGAGTTCAAATCACGCCTCAGACCAAACACTTAACACATTTACTAGCTGTGTGACCTTGGGCAAGTCACTTAATTCCAATTGCCAAAAAAAAATAAAAGGAATAGAGAAAAACAGAAGGATAAAAGATTATCATCATATAAAGAAATTTGGGACTTCATGAACATGGAAGTGGAACAACTGTAGGTGCTAGCAAGATCACAAGGGCATAATTATCTGGAGATGAATTGGAATACAGAAGTAGGCTAAGTGAATTGAGTAGATTGAAGAACTGAAATGTTAGGGTATTTGAAAAAGTATCAATATTTATATTGAAGCTCCCTAACATGAGGGCAGAAGGTGGGATAGAAAGACAGTGAAACAAGTGCTGAACTCACTGTAGAAAGGAAAATGCTGAATTGGGTGACATATAAAAGTTGTTAAACAAATTATTCAATTTCTCTGGTCCTCAGCTAAAAAATGAGAATAACACTTTACCTACCCAAAAACCAGAGAGCTGACTAGGTAATCTGAGATCCATTCTAGATTAAGTCCTCGTCCATCAAACCCTATCCCCTCTCTCCCACTCCAGGCACACTCTTCTCAGCTGTAGAATACTGAGACCTGGATGAGAGCCCTGGGTTCAATATCACTTCCAACATTTACTCTGTGACCTTAATGAATAATAACCTTTCATAGTCATACAGGGTTTTAAGGTTTGGAAAAGGCTTTCCTCTTAACCTCTAAGGATACAATACATAAATAGTATTTTTCTCCACTTTACAGATAAGGAAAATGGGGCTCTAAGGTTAACTGTCAAGCCTCCAATTACACAACTAATAACTGATATTTATAAAGACTTAAAGCCTTTACATACATTATCTCATCCTTAAAACAATCTTTCTGTGTAGCTGCTATTGTCCCCATTTTGCAACTGAGATTCATAAACACTTTAATAGACACAGAAAGGTTAAATGACTTGTCTAGGGACACGAAGCTAATAAGAGGTTTAAGACAGGTTTAGAACACTAGGCTCCTGATTCCACTTTCAGTCCAGGGCACTTAAACTCTGAGCCTCAGTATTCTCAACTATAAGACGCAGATCATAATACTTGTATGACTTACCTCATAAGAGCTATTTATTGTGAGGATCAAATGTGATTTTTGTATATTAAAGGGCTTAAGAAAATCTTAAAATAATCTATAGTTAGCTATTATAGAAAAATAAAGTATTCAATCAAGCTTTTAAAATTATGAACAAAGAATACTAGCTCAATTCATTCAATAAGGACTTAAAACCATTCTGCCTCTGTGCCAAGCACTGTGCAAGACACTGAAAATATAAAGACAAAACAAAGTAGTCTCTGTCTTCAAGGAATTTATATTCTGTGAGGTAGGGAAAAACTTACGCAAGTAAATATAAATATAGGGGAAAATGAATGGCAACTTTTGAGAGGGGAGCTAACAACTGGGTCAGGAAAGGTCTCTTGATGGAAGTGGCACTTAGGTTGAAACTTTAAGCCAACTCAGTGAAGTCCAAGAGGCCAAAGTGAGGAGGGGGCACATCCCTGGCATAGGAATAGCCTGTGCAAAGAAAGGCACCAGAAGGTCTTAGAGAGAATATCTTGTATGAAGATCAGCAAATACCCTATTTGGGCTGGAACATAAGTTTATACAAAAGAGACTATGTAATAAGCCTGGAAAGGTAAGGGAGAACCAGACTGTGAAGGGTTTTTAATACCAAACAGAAGATGTTAGCAGCAATCATCAAAACTACCTGGTACTGGCTAAGAAATAGAGTGGTGGATGACTGGAATAGGTTAGGTACACAAGACACAGCAGTCAATAACTACAGTAATCTACTGTTTGATAAACCCAAAGACCCTAGCTTCTAAGATAAGAAATCACTATTTGACAAAAACTGCTGGGAAAACTGGAAAATAGTACAGCAGAAACTAGGCAAAGATCAACATCTTACACCATTTACCAAAATAAAGTCAAAATGGGTACACAATCGGGGCAACTAGATGGCGCAGTAAATAGAGCACTGGCCCTAGAGTCAGGAGGACCTGAGTTCAAATACAGCCTCAGAAACTTGACACTTGCTAATTGTGAGACTGTGGGCAAGTCACTTAACCCCGATGCCTACCAAAAAACAACAACAACAACAACAACAAAAAAAAAAAAACAAAGAAATAAAATGGGTACATGATTAGATATAAACCTTGATACTATAAGCAAACTGGGACAGCAAAGAATAGTTTACCTATCAGATCTATGGACAAGGGAAGAATTTATGACCAAACAAAAGATAGAGAACATTACAAAATGCAAACTGGATGACTTTGATGATATGAAATCAAAAAGGTTTTGCACAAACAAAGCCAATGCAACCAAGATTAGAAGGGAAGCAGAAAGCTGGAATTTTGACAGCCAGCGTCTCTGATAAAGGCCTCATTTCTAAAATATACAGATAACTGAGTCAAATTTATAAGAATACAAGTGATTCCCTAACTGACAAATGGTCAAAGGATATGGACAGTAGTTTTCGGAGAAAGAAATTAAAGCTATCTATAGTCATATGAAAAAATGCTCTAAATCACTACTGACTAGAGAAATGCAAATCAAAACAACTCTGGGGGCAGCTAGGTGGTGCAGGTGTTAAAGCACCAGCCCTGAAGTCAAGAGGACCTGAGTTCAAATCCGGCCTCAGACCAAACACTTGACACTTACTAGATGTGTGACCCTGGGCAAGTCACTTAACCCCAACTGCCTTTAAAAAAAAAACAAAAAAACAAACTCTGTATACCATATCACACCTATCAGATTGGCTAACATGACAAAAGAGGAAAATGATAAATGCTGGAGAAGATGTGGGAAAATTGGAACATTAATGCATTGGTGGTGGAGTTGTGAACTGATCCAACCATTCTGGAGAGCAATTTGGAACTATGCCCAAAGGTCTATAAAACTGTGC